TTCGACACCTGCATCTGTGTTCAAACACACAGTCATACTGGGGTGCCTCATTTCTCCATACAGGACAGGCATGAATATATTCCCAGTGCATGCCACCAATCCCACTATGATCGCTGGGTGCATAGAATGTCGAAGATGCAGAGTTGAAAACGTGTATTTTACCATCAAATTGGGGACAACTTGCAAGCGGGACTTCAGAGGGAGAGCGCTGGTCATCTGGGTTCACTTGTCCGAATATAAATCAGCGGAGGACATTATAGAGATGGGGGATAGCGAGTTCTGCAGATAAGTCGGGTATAGTTCGTGCGCGTTTGCGTTCTGCACAATGAGGAAAATTATATAAGGTATCGACTGTCAAATATGAGCTGCTTACAGAGTGTCTTTGCCAACTGAACATGGGCCTGCACCAGTGTTAGGCCATCAATAATATCGCCCTCTTCATTGTCACCCTGAATAGTAATGTCGAGGTCAGGGAGTAGTATGATGTTATTCTCATTGGGTTGGTCAGGCTGATTGGCATCAGGCATACCATTTAATCACAAACACTCTAGTATAGGTTTTAAGCAAATGATAAAGATGATAGCGCTACAACACTCACTTAGTGCCCGAAGTGTTTCTGAAAGACAGGTGCCATCCAGCATCCCACGGCTCTTGAAATCAACACACGAAGCTGCAAGTTTATCGAGACACTGGTTTGCCACCAGCATTTGGCCAAGGGCTTTGTAGCAACTCAAGTGCCTCCATGGTTCCTTGACGGCTTTGATGTGCTTTGTCTCAGTGATTGAGGAGCACAGGCCATTGGGTGCACCAAACAATCGGATAAGGAGGATATAATGGGAGCAGGAATGTTGTTGAGGGAGGGAGAATGTAGGTATGACGCCTATGGACTCAAAGACCTTCCTGTAATAATGGAATCGGTCAAGGGCTTCCTGGATTTGAACCAGCATAGATTCTGTAATGATATTATGCCAGACAAGATAACAGAATTCAAGAAATGCACGAAATGTGCATATCACATCCGTTGGGATGTGACCTTCAATGGCAGGTAGATAAACATGAACTGTTGTTAGTCTGGCGGTCGCATCATCCTAGAAATAAGTTGAACTTGCCTTCATAAGTGCTTTCAAATCATCCCTGGTCCATTGTTTGAATCCTTGACCTTCTGGGAAACTGTCGAAGACCTGAGAATGAGGCAACCACAGTGATCCTTCAATGGCATAAGCTTTGAAATATTAAATGAACACAAAAGGACGTACCTTTGATCTATCTCATCTTGAATTTTCTCTGCTCCCTTCTTTCTGTGCATGTGGAGCAAATATTTTCCAACCCACTCAACTAAATGATCCTTGAAGGTTCCTTTAATCAGCTGATGTAGGAGGTCTGGCACGATAAGTTGGTATCAGCTCGAGGGAAATCATTTGTAAATGGCTATAAAGGATTAAATTTCAACTGCAATACTACAAGATGTGTGACTTACGATGAGTTCACGGATGATCCCATATTCATCCCACAGATCAGTAGATGATACTTCTTCAATGAGTGCTTCTGTATGGTCACGATTACGATGCAATGACTTGGCATCCAAATTTTTGTGGTGTGACATACACCTGTAATAGCGGTAAGGCAGAAGTCATTTTAAATTACTTCTAGGAACATACCTTGGGCACTAAGAATGCACTATACACGCTAATAGAACCTGTTCTTCATAATCTGCGATGTATGGTCCAAGCCCATAGATAACATGCTGATAGTGCCCATTGCCGAAGCGCACAACCTCTGGTTTGGTCATGCCAGGCCTTAGGTTCTCAAGAATCTTCGAGATAGACGAATGAAACAGTTGCCGGTGATATTTCCGATATTGGGGGCAGGAGGTGTGCTCCTTCGTGGCTGCTCAACTGCAGTTAGTGCAGAATAATAATAGTAGGATGATGATTACTTTTTGGCATAGCTAGGAAGCCAATAATGGCAATGGCATCACAATGCGCACATCGGATGTTGTTATGAACATTTCTGATTGATACATACAGGGGATAGTAATCGTGAGCGCCAGTTGCCACTGAAACTGTCGTCTTGTCACTTCCGAGCATAACCGGCACAAAGGTCGAGCCAGTTGCATCCAGGTCTTTGGAAATGATATCCTACCGAAAATTGTAGGTGTGAATAGCCACATAAATCAAGGAAAGAGAACATACCGCTTGGTTCCAAGCCCAGTCACCAGACATGAAGTCCTGCCATTGGCGTGCATCGCCGTCATTTGAGAACTCACGGTAGGGCCGGTAGTCCATCTCTGTTGCATAATCTGGGTTTGCCAGCATGTTCCGAATGACCTCATGGGGGTCTTGATACCAGACATCATGAGATTGATCCATCCAGGGTGGTACATTGTGTGCTGGCTTCTCCCCCGTATACTGGACCTTGAAGGATTGCCATTTGACATCACCCACCGGTTGTACTGTCAATGGTCTTATGTAAATCACGGCAGTTTGCAAATGGTGGCTTGTCATTGTGTTTCAGGAGAGTTGTGGCCCAAAGATCCAGTAAGATGTTGATGTCCCCGGGCGGACATTTGGTTGCGAGTGTACAGGAATTCTGCAGTCTCAAACTCAACACGATCCTGGTATGGAGTCCAGTCATCAGGTAATCTGCTTGGAGGTGGTGTTGGGGGTGTTCCATCTTCAAGGGATTGACCTGTCGCATCACAATGATGAGCTTGTATAAATACTCGCGTTAGTTGCAAGCAGTCGAAATAGCTTCAAGAAATGTACCATTTAGTTTTGGATGATAGTTGCGGTACAATCTATCACCCGGCCCCCAAAACTCTGTGTCCAGATTGTCAGGATCATCCAGAGCCTGAATCACATCAAATAAATCTGTGGGGAAATTGTCATGACCTGCTGGGAAGCTGTTGTGACCTGCATGGAAGTCGTCATGACTTGTGAGGAAATCACTGTGCGGTTCTTCAGGCTCGTCTTTGACTGTGGCAGTATGCAAGACCCTGGTGGGAGAAGCTGATTTGAATATCGGGTGCGAAGTATTCCAGTGCTTTTTACGCCCTGCCTGAGTCTTGAAGTGGCATTCACACCACAGGAAACCACATGGAATCTGGTGAGTGCTGTGGTTCCTGCAAGCACTTGTAGGCATCTTGGCTGTAGAAATTAAGAGAAGGAGGATGGTGTAATACTAAGTTCAATATGCTAAGTAACAAGGTCCGATTAGTGTGTCGATCCTTGTTTGGGGGGCTTACGAGTTTTTCTGAACCCACCTTGCTATTTTCTCACTCCAACAAAGTATTATCCTTCCCAAGTCGTAACCTCATTTCCCCGGTGATGTCTACCACAAATGCTCCCTGTTGCACCCATCCGTCAAATGCAACCACCTGGCCTGGCCAGATAGTGCTCAATGTGCAGGTTAAGAGGCATACCAAGGCACAAAATAACACCGATGACCTTGCCATCAAGGTAGTAAAGGAAGCACAGGAAGCGCAGACCCAAAAGGGACTGAAGCGCCTGGCTGGTATGCAAAATGAGATGGAACAGGCACAGGAAGAATACTCACAAAAAAAGCGGCCCCCATTCAGTCTAAGCCAAGGGCTCGTAAGGCGACAAAGTCTGTAGTAGGGGATACTGACAGCATGATGGACACTGATGAGGCAGACAGCAACCAGGAGGCTGCCGAGAACATGGAGGATGATACTGCAGAAACAAAGAAGAAGAGGGTAATGAAGAAAGGTGGAAAGCCATTGATAAGGGACACTATCAGTAACATGCAAAGCAAGATCAACGAAGCATCATCGAAAGTGGAAGGTGGTGACCCTGTGACACATGTATCTGATGGGAAAGATACACCAACACCACAGTGAGGCTTCCTTCTCTCACCATGACACCATCCCTGATGTTACTTCTCACTGAATCAACATTGTATTTCCTTAATCTTACTTCCAGTATCAATCCCACCACCCAGAAATTTGCTTTAGGTGGGCGAGTGACCGACTGGAGATCAGATGTCAAGCCCGTAAAATCAGAGCTGTCACAGGCATTCAGCATTTCAACTCGGGTGCCTCCAACATCAATTTTCTCACAAGGCACTGCCTCCACTACGCCAACTTCTGATGCACAGATCCCAATTCCAAAGCCTGTGGCTCCCGCTCAAATTCCAGATGCAGAAGTCCTGATCGGAAGTTTTGCAGATGACATCGACGATACATTGGAGCATGAGGCTACTATCGCACAAGGCAAAGGGAAATCCAAGTTAATTGGCCATGATTAGTACCAGCATCCGCTAATTTGCTTCACAGGTTGCCTCCATATTTGATGACAACTTGGACTTCAACAAGCCTACAACTCCAGTAGCGTATGAGTCAGATGATGATTTTGAATCTTCATTTGTAGAATGCGAAGAATACTCACAGGAGCCTAAGGCTCCATTTACACAGGTGGACAACCCCCTCAAGCAGAACGCTTGTGTGGATGAGGCCGTAGATGACAACGAGGAGTCTATGGTGTCTGACTGGTCCATGGACATCATTGGCCCGGATCTTGAAGATGTGATTGAGGATTCCGATGACGCTCCTGAGCCCGAACCTGTGGTAGTGAAGAAGGAGAGGGTTCAGCGCACAACATCTTTGGTAAGGACACTGAACTTACTAGCCTTCATTCTGACACTCGTACAGACATCTGTATCTGTTGTGACTTCTGTCGCTGACAGCAAGCCGCCAGCTCAGAAAAAGGTCAAGGTTAAGCCATCCGCTGCACGTGCCCACGGTGCTCCTGCCATCAAACACCAGCTGAACGTGGATACGACGCCAGACTGCATGAAACCTCGTAGCGCCTATCGTAATGTTGACTTACCTGCCACGATGCAGGTGGACCAATGCTGGACAAAAGAATTTCTCCCCACTGTCATGTTGTGGGCTGGGAGTTATGATGATATCTGGAATATCCCAGATGAAGTCCTTCTCCTTCATGCCCAGCTGATTTTAATGCGGTATACAAGGAGCTCAACATTACCATTGTTCACGGTGGTGTGATACATTCCCTGGTAAGTCCATTATTTTCTGTCGAGCTTGACTAACTATATTTGTAATTAGACTGCGCAGCATATATCCAAATGGTGCAGCAATTTCGGCTCAACAGGCATAGTCATCGTCCTGGACTTCTTGATGCAAAACTCTGACTGCAATCCGGTTCAACTCGCCAAATCTTTGATTGCAGATTATGCATTCTTGTTCAAGGACCCTGACAACCCAAGTCCCCTCACAACATACCGTTCTCCCTTCGTTTTGCAGTTGTTAGGCACAGCGCATCTCAACGCCATCAATGGGTATGTGGAGGTTCCCAAACTTGACACACATACGCTCACGACACGTGGGATGTTGGGTGTTATTGCCCTTTGTGCTGCAGCAGTAAGTTTTATTTTCAGGCTCTTTAATTTGCACTTATTTTTTAGATCAAGCGCGCCCTCAATATGTTCATGGATGATGTTTTGAAAGTCAAACAAGTCTTGGCGTCTGGGTCGCGAGGTAAACTTGCCATCAAGCTACCGAAACTCCTCAATAAAACTACTGGGAAGATGACCAATGCCCCATTCTTATTTTCAGGGGCTCGCTGGACTAAAATCACTACTTCATTCATCAAGTCTATCTCAAGTAAGCCTGCTGGGTATGTAGAGACCACCATACAGATGGCACATGCTTGTACTACCTTAAAGGACACGATGGACACACCACATGGCTTGCTTGATAATGAGGAGTCCGAGGACAATGAACATGCTGTGCTTTGTAAGTGATTATCATTCAGGTTTCATCCCACTGACATTCATGGCTACAGGATTTTTCTTCACATGAATATCGCTGTCCTGCACTGAACTTTGAGTCCTGCCGCTATCATATTTTCTATTATTTTTGCTACCGCCACCACTGCTCGATTGTATGCCCCCTTTGTTTCCTGTAATTCCCTGCCGGTTCTTACTTTTCAGTCCCCTTGATTTTTCGTTGTTGTCATGTATTCCCCTTTTTCATGAATTTCAGGCTGCTTTATTCAGTTTTTTAAGTGAAATAAGTGTGAAATAAGCGAAAATTCAGAGATGGAGTGGGCTTAATTAAGTGGCCTGCACTTTTTCACTCAAATGACTTGATCATCCTTTTCATGTAATTAAGTGACAAATAAAGTTAGAAAAGCAACCAGTTGTTTTACTGATGCAGATAAAATCGATCGCATGATGATCGCCTGCTCATGGCTGAATCATCGCCCACTCACAGCATCACCACCCACTCACGATAATCCCTAAGATGTGACATATTGTACATATTGGAAAACTTAATGATGACATTTGTTATGTACATACACTATACAGTAGTGTAAAGGGGACAGTAAAAGGAAATCACTCATAAACATACTGTTAAGACCGTAGCTCAAGGGTAGACGGATCCGAAGGGCTTGGCCTCAGCTCATGCGCTGTGCCCCTTACCCGAGTACGTGCCCTTAATTTCAGAATGAAGTCCAGATGGAATCCGACGAAGTCCGAAGGACTTCCGGAGGCTGGCTACTCTGGTTGAGTGCTGGAGGACTTCCGGATGAGCGCAGGAAACTTTCGGATGAGTATAGGAAACTCTGGAAGAGTTTCACCCGCTGCATTAGATCCGAAGGTAAGCTCCCTAGATGGAAACACATAGAAGATAGG